ATGCATTATTGATGTCAAACCAAATATATATATTTGAAAAAACAAGTTTGTTGTTTGAGTCTTTCAACCAAATCAAACCACTTTATTGTTTTCTTAATACAGACGCAACTCGAGACATTTCTTCAGTTCATAAAGTGAAAGTTGTAGATTCTTACACTGAAAAAGACACAAAATCTTACCAAGTATTTTTGGTGTTTCTAGTACAGAATATTTTAGTACGCTTGAAATAAGACAAAAACTTACAAGTAACTTTTCAGCAAGCTATAGACTCTTGCTTAAAGTCAATAATTCTTAAAATTGATGGGAAAAAGTACTAGTTATAAGTGAAATAATCTCCCAGTGGAGCAATAACCCATCACCTTTAGAGCTTATTTTTTCCAGTTTACCTATTAATGCACGACACTCGACCAGATTAGTTTTATTTATTATGCTAAAGTCTAGAGATGACGCCCTGCATCTTCATTCCAAATAAAAACTCTCAGCTCGGCTTTTGGAAAGCTTTGCAGCCAGTGGCGGTTCTACCACGTTTGCCACCCTGGACGATCTTCCACATGGGCACCCAACTTGGTGTTTTGGAAAACGCTGTGAAAACAAAACATTAAACCAATTCGTCTGAATGCCATGTGTATTCATGGATTTTTTTTTTTTTTAGATATTTAAAACAAAAAAATTCATGCAAGTATATTAAAACCATATAACACTTTTAATACCATTATGAAAGTAAAATTTATTTCAAAACAGAGTGGCATGAAAATAAGCAATAGCAAACTCATTCAGGTGGCAACTTATTTTTTTCATCGCCCCTGGTGAGATGCCACCCTGGACAGTGAGCCGTATCAAGGAGCTCCACTAGTTGCTGCTCCACATCTTAAAAGGCATATGGTTTTTAAATAAATAAAAGAGTTCTGATCATTTAAAATACTCATCAAACAACATTAAATGTGATGTTCTTTGGGGGAAGCCTCCCTGTCCAGCAGCTGGCGGACCTCCCCGCTGCTCAAAGGGCCCATACACCGTGGTGTGAACCGTCTGACGCGAGGGAAGTCATTAGTCTTCATTAGCAACTTCCAGGAGTTTCTTATGAAGTGCTGTGAAGTTGTCATTTGCTCCCTTTGCCAGGAAAGCTAGATGTGAGGTTTGTTTTCCTACGCGGAGGGCCAAATGTGAGCCCGCCTCCCCGGCCCCTGCTGCGCACTTTTCAGATCCTGGTTCCTCCGGATGAGGAGTTGAAAACGCAGATTTTTATTCTTGGTGTTAAAACAGACGCAGTAGTTCTTGTCTTCCTGTTGGGAATGTGCTCCTCTTGGTGTGCTGCTCCGAGTTATGTCAGCATATAAGAAGCTATTTTTAGAAAAAGTATTGGATCCCTTACAGAGTGATTGTTTTCGTCACACTTGAATGTTTCAGATCACTACAAAAATTTGTTTTTAATTTAGACAAAAATAAGCTGAGTAAATGCAAAAATTATTTCAGATGACTTAATTCATTAAGGAAGCAAATTATCCAAATTAAGTTGAATGTATAGATATATTTTTGGGGTCCAAAGGTTGCTTATTTGCTTCATATTTATGGAATTACATAAATAAAACCCAAATGACAACATGAAGGTTAAAAAATCTGAAGAAGCATCACGCTCTGATTAAAATGAACGAATAGATGAGAAATAAAGCCATTAACATCTATCAGCTGTTTTCAAGGCTTTATTTGTAGCATTTTGATCAAGGGCTTTTGGATTATGCTAAAATAAAAAAAAAAAACAGTAGCTGTGCTTCCGTTCACCTTAAAATTGTTCAACTTGAAATTACTAAAGTAAATTTGCTTAACAGAAACACGCCAAATTAGAAAAAACTAAAATGGATCTATAAGATGACGCCCTGGGCAGCTGCCCATTTTGCCTATATCAGAATCCGCCACTGAATTGAGGCACCACAATTTTTTTTTTTTCAACATAAGTAAAATATCCACAGCTACTGATCCAAAGAACATCTCAGCAAGTTCACTTCTGAAATGCCAGAGCGGCTTAGTCAAAGTCCATACCTCCAATCAAGAGGTCGTGGCATCATGACCTTAAACGGCCTGTTCCAAATGTGACTCAGTTATTCTTCCTCATTTATGTAAGAGATTAATGCCAGTTATCGCAAACTGGACACTTTTGTTTTGAACCATTAAAGGTGTGACAAAAAAAAAAAAAAAAAGCAGAAACAGAAAAAAATCTGCAAAGCGGGGTGGGGGGGGCATGCATATACTTTTTTCTTAAAGTACTGCATGTGATGAATGTGGTGACGTCATTTTCTGATTGAAAAGGCAGAACAATTGAGTGAAAAAAAATTAAATAAAAAAGTATAATGTTTCCATCCGTGGCTCCACTTTCTCTACAGTAAGAAAAGAAAGCGTCTGGTTTTGCATCAAAAGGCCGTCGCTGCCTGGCTGATGTGAGCGAAAGGTGTGAGATTTCTCGTCAGTCCACTCCAGGGGCCCTTTATGGGCCCGCTGCAGAGCCGTCTGATCCCCGCGCCCTGGCTGTATATTGGCAGCTGTTAACTGTAAGAGCGCACAGAGAGCTCCGTGCAGCCTGGGCAAATGGCCGAAGGCCGACTGCTAAAAAAGAAGAAATAAGAAAAGGAAGAGGAGAACTGGAATTTATCCAGGGAAGGATTCAGATATGAGAGGAGGAATAGACTTTAGTCACTGCAGTTTTCTTGGGCTTTCAGTGAAGCTATTGCAGCCTCTACTCTGCTACAACACTAAATCTCTCCAAGTATTTTTGCTCTGGTTTCTAGTGCAAATATCGACATATGCAAGCTGGCAGATGTACACTGCAAGTAAGCACAAAGTGGTTTTACAAAATGTTGAAAACCCAAGTAAAATCTCTTCTACTTTTCAGCTATTCGCTAGTTTCTGTTGGTCTGTTGCATAAAATACACAACTATATGCAGTTATCATACAAAGTGAAAAATATCTAGAGGAATAAATAATTCTGTAGGGAACCAGAGCTTAACATACATTAACTATAAAATATATTCACCCGCTTGGAACTTTTACTCTTCTATTGCTTTTACAAATCAGTCATGATCAACAAAACTTGCCATTTTTGACAAAAAATGTTTACAAAAAAACTTTAATGTCAGCAGGAAACGGTAGCACAAGCGCTGTGGAGTAACTCGTTTTAGGTCAATAATTCCTTAATACTGATGAAAAAGTTCTAGTTCCACTCACAATAAAACATTTTTCCCATAAGTGAAATCATCTGTAAGTGGATCTAGTGCGTTTTAATCAATATTAAAGAATTATTTACCTAAAATATGTGCCTTTATCTTGCTAAAAAAAAAAAAAAAAGCTACCTGTGTATCAAAATATTTTTGCACTAGAAACCAGAAATACTTGGTAAGATGTTGTGTTTTTGCAGAGCGCTGGCTTTCTGCAGACAGCCACACTGATTTGTCGCGCCGTCCAAACGTCCCTGCAGGCTGGATGTGACGTAAAGCTTCCCCCGCTGCCATTGCTCCTCAGTCCTCTGGCCTTGTAGCGGTCACACCTGTCACCTTTAGACACCTGTGTGTAACAAGGCTGACACTGCTGCCGCTGAAACGTACACCTCTGGGCCCCGACACCGTGACCCGAAGAGACCCGATCTCTCTCTCATTTCCAAACGCACCGTCCTTCCCTCCTCCTTCGCCCCGCACGTACGAGCCGCTCTGATGCCCCTCGCGACCTCTCTGACCCCTGAGGCAGTCAGAGGAGAGCTGAGGAGACCTGTGATTGATAACTCCCCGTCAGCAACTGGGTCTCTCTCACACACACACAAACGCACGCACGCACACACACGCTTCTCTCAAAATCGGACAGCACGTCCTCAAGGCCAATGCTGCTGAGTTTCAGTGAACTGAGGAGCGCTGGGAGACATCAGCGCGGTTAAATGACTGCATCGCATCTTTAAGTGCATCTTTACAACCTGAATCCTCGCCATTTTATTTCACATTGATCTCTGCTCAGAGCTCGTCAATATATTCGCAGTGGGCGGAGGCGGTGGTGGGGAAGGATGGAGCGTCTTGCACTTTTTTGTGGACACCTCCAGTGCATTGCAGACGTACTCAACCCCTACTCTCTTTTTTTTTATTATGCTACAGCAATCAACTTTTTGTGGGATTTTATTTGAGAGGCAAAGATGGCAGATAACTGAAGTGGATATGGTTGTCAAACCTAAATTAAAAAAAAAAAAATCTGAAAAGTGTGGTGTGCTTTTGTAATCGTCATCACCACCATCTTTCTTAAAAACACAAATAGGTCCAAATGAAAAAAAAATAAATAAATAAAATACAAATAAATAATATGGAGTTCTCAGTAAACACCATGTACGTTTCGCTTAAATTACAGATTCATTTGGGTTTACCCATGTAGGCTTTTTACATTCACACTTTTTTTTTCCTTTTTGGGGAGGTGGGAATACATAATCAAACTCTCGTCCGCCTAAAAGCTTCGGTCTCGATTCGGTTGAAGAGAACACTGTTGTGGTTCGAATGCAAGCGTGGATGCCAAGCAGACCGAAGAAGGAAACTATAGTGCAAGGAAGAAAGGTGTATTCTTACACTTCATAATGAAGCACTACATAGTGTTAAACTATAACATAAAGTCCTAATAAAATACAAAACAGTTTGTGATTAGCATGACAAAATGCACAAACGTTCCAGTATTTTGCAAGCTGTCTCTCCAACTGTATGTCTGCATATTGCTTTCAAGCATCTACTTAGTTATTCTTACAGTAATAGGGCCGTAAGATGCCGGGCTGTAAAAAGCTGTGCTTACAAAGGCCATTGTATGCAACGCAGACACGAGAACCCAAAGAGGAAACCTATACGGTTTGGGTTTCTTGGCCTGAGAGGAGATGAATTCAATCCACGCCACAGGAAACTAGAAAGGAGATTGTCATTTTTTTTCCTCCACCCCCTTCTATGCTAACGCCTGTAGTGTGTTGCGGTCAATTCACCTGCAGTGAAGCGGTACGAAGAACTGCGACACCTGTGGATTTTACCTGGAAGTGGATATCAAGTAGGAGAGCCGGTGTTTGCTCTCCTACCCCTGCAGGAGCCCATAATTCATGCCTGGCTTTGAGCCTGTGGTGCTAACTGGCTGCTGATTGCCCACCCATACACTGGGCTTTCTCCTCATGCAGAAACTGGCTTCTTCAAGGGGAAACCATCTTAATTAGATTATCTGTCAGAGGCCTGGGCCTGTCTAGACCACCCAATACACAACCGTCAGCATCGTTCCCCCCCCACTACTTTCCCGCGGTCCAATCTGAGGATGCCTCTCAGGTACGACTTACCTGCAGGAACAGTGCATGGTATTACCACACCATTATGGGTTCACAAAGAGTTTCCCCACCCACTCTGTAATTTGGTAGAGAAAAGAAGCGTAAAAGGGGATTGTTATGTAATGTGACGTTTTACGCACTTTCTCAAGCACGTTCCCCATCTCACTATGTGTATTACTTTTGTGCTCCTACAGAGCTTGTTCTTTTTGAGAAAATAGCAACACATTATACTTGACCACCCTTTCCACTCCATTTCTCTTAATTGCGTCAAATGACTCGCGCTGAGTGTTTACCGTGTTACACAAACACACTAAGTGGCATTTCTGCCATCGGTTATGTATGTGTCAATGATATTTATGCCGGTTTCTGGAGCCACAGCCAGAGCCCGATCTGCAGCAGGAAAGTCCGTCCATATTTGTTTTAAAGTCTCTTAGCAGTTAATAAAGGCGCATTTCCTCCTTCCCCCTTCCTGTGGGGACGGTATCAGGGCTCTGTTAAGTCTCTTTGATTTCCAGCACCCCTCCAATCACAGCTGGACCCTGACTCATCATTGTGTCACTTCAAAGCCTGGGAATGGCCCTCCTGGCTCCACCTACCAAAGGGTCCCCCTTAAAAGTCATGGTCACTCTCTCTGGCAGCATCCATCTGATGCGACAGAACGGAACTGTTTGGACTCACCTTAAGCTGCTGGATTTGTCTTCAACACATGAGACGCGGGGGTGGACGGCGGGGGGGCTACGCTTTTGGATTTATCCAACATTTGGATTACTTGTCATCCTTTCATGCATAGAAATCCCAAACTTCTCCTGTCTGGCCACTGAAACTGGAAAATGCAGTCCATCAGGGGTGAGTTCCCGACGCCTTTTTATTGAATTGTAAAGCAGAATTGAACCTGTCCTCCTCAGTTCATCCCTGATCAAAAACTCAACCCCTTTTGGTGTCAAATGTCTATAGTAAATCTTACTTTGCTGCAGAGCTGAAGTCTAACTTCAGCGGTCCACCTCCTGCCTCCATGGCCGCTGGCCCTGACGCCTATCTCCAGGGCAGCATCAGGATGACTCTGGAAGACCTTGAGCTGTGGAAGACGTTCCATGAAATTGGAACGGAGATGATAATCACCAAACCGGGCAGGTGAGACGGGGCTTTTCACACAAAAATATTCAGAAAGATGTTTTCCTCATTTGTGTATTCTCTCTTGTATTTTAAGGAGGATGTTCCCACACTGTAAACTGAGTTTATCTGGTCTTATTCCGTGTGCCAAGTACATCTTACTGGTTGACATGGTTCCAGAGGATGGCTTCAGGTATAAGGTAAGGCCTATAAATTATAACTGTGTTGTCTTGACTTGTAAAGATCCCTCTGTGGTTAGCAGATACCCCCTGTTCATCACCCCCCTCCCCTGACGTTGCACATCAAAGACCCCTATCTCTTCCTGTTTTTCTATCCCCTGCTGGGACCTCACTGTACTACCCCCTGCCTCCATGGGTGGTATCCTCCAGCCGTCACTCTCGGAGCAATCGTGGGAAGTTAGGGAAGATGAAGTTTCTTCTGTAAATCACCTTTTTTCAGAGGCTGATTGACTTACGATGCGTCTCCTCCCCTGCAGTGGAATAAAGAGAAATGGGAGGTGGCAGGAAAAGCGGAGCCTCAGCCTCCCTGCAGGACATACCTCCACCCAGACTCTCCGGCCCTGGGGAGCCACTGGATGAAACAAAGCGTCTCGTTCCTCAAGCTCAAGCTCACCAACAACACACTCGACCAGCATGGGCATGTGAGTATTAAATAATCAAGGGATTTTCCAGTTTATGTTGAGTTTAAAAAGATCTTTGGGGTACTCTTACCCTGACTTGTCTGCAGATCATCTTGCACTCAATGCATCGCTACCACCCTCGTTTCCACGTTGTCCAAGCAGACGACCTGTTCAGCGTCCGCTGGAGTGTGTTCCAGACTTTCACCTTCCCAGAGACGTCCTTCACCGCAGTCACTGCCTACCAGAACACCAAGGTGAGGCCGTTTGGTTCCACAAAACCTTGATTGTCTCTTACTGAGGCCAGCGGATGTTGGTTTTAATTCAATTCTGTTTGGGGCAGATCACAAAGCTGAAGATCAATCACAACCCGTTTGCAAAGGGTTTCAGAGATGAGGGCACTAATAAAAAAAGGTGGGTCTTAATTCTGCTGAACATAGAGAAATCCTGCTTGTGAAATTGATCTAAAAAAGCTGATGCTTCTCTTTAGGCGTGCAAACAAAAACCCTGCATGTGTAGAAAAAAGGGCCAAGATACCAGGAGTGTTGAACGAGGACTCCAAGGACAGCAGTTCACCAGGTACAGCTTCAGTCTTCCTTGTGTTCATGAATTTCCTTCCTGTCTTGCATTTTTTTTAAGGTTTATTGGCTCTAGTGGCCTTTATTTGATAGTGAATTGACAGGAAAGTGGGTAATGAGAGAAGTGGGGAGACATGAAGCAAAGATCGCCAGGGAGGGATTCGAACCTGCAACAGGACTAAGGCCTCCATATGTGGGTTGTGCATAACCCCTGCACCACCACAGCACCCCTTGTATTTTTGTTAAGTCATCCATTGCTTTGTGTCTTTTCAGGGTTCTGCCAGTCATCGTATGATGGTTACAACGGAGAAGAGGGCCGCCTGGTCAAAAGGAAAGACGAGGATGCTGTAAAGGAAGAGCGATACTCCCCCTGGAGCGCCGAGAGGCAGCAGGGTGTGAGGACCGACTCTCCCGCCAGGACGGACACAAGAGATATCTACAACACGGAGCAGCTCGTTCCCGCTCCTGCATCCTACCAGCCGTTCAGGTGAATACCGCTGACTTAATGCGTCAAATGGTAAAACTACGTCCCGTTGAACTGGACATTCACTGCCATTATACTCTCCAGGGCCCATGAGTACAGAAAGTCTCCATCCCCCTCCTCGAGCGTTGGCAGCAGCATCACCGGATCTGGACGGAGCAGCTTCGAGCCCAGAGTTCCTGACATTGCCACCGTCCCCGATCACGACTCCTCTAAGCCCGGCCCTTCCCACTGCGGGCCCCAGCCCCTGCCGGGCCCCCAGGACTACAGCGGAGTGCTGAACATGACCATGGCCCAGGCCGGCAAGCCAGGGGTCATCGGCCACCACATTTACAGCCCCTACAGCACGGAACAGCCGCTGGGCCAGTGGAGCGGGCCGGGACCTGCGCAGTATCCCCCTCCTCACCCTCTGACCGCCGACTACACCTCGCAAGCTGTGCACCATGGCTATCACCATGGCAACGTGGGCGAATGGAGCCAATATCCGTTGTTCTCTTACTCCTGCTGGTGAGCAGGCTCTTCAGTGTCAAATGATTGAGAGCTTATTAAATCTGACGGCCGACGTGAGGCACACAGACCCGACAACGCATGCCCCAAACGACGCTGAAGGCCTGATACCTGTGGCAAGAGGAAGGAGGAGGAAGAGGAAGAAATGTGGCCCAGTGGGCCTCGACTTTCAGGAGACACCAAAATCTCTCCAAACATCGGAGCCCTGTGGGATGACCGTCCCCGTCTATTTATTTCATGTTTTGTCTCATCTACGGCGTAAATGTTATTTTTGTACAGAAAAAGAAGAATTAAACCTAAGTGTGCAAATTATGTGTGTCTATGTCTTGTATTGTGAAGTGAAAATAAAAAAATCTTATGCAATACTATTTCTTTGTTGTCTTGCGTTCTGATCTTCATACATTCCCAGCACAGACGCCGCTGACCGGCGCTGCCTTGCAGGGATGGAACATTTATACTTCATGTCAACTCAAGACTGAGCGTATTCCGACATATACTAAATCGTCCAACTTCACATCAAAGGTTTAGATGTATTTGCAGTGATTTTACTTTTAAGGCAGACATGGCTGGAAGAGACAGTGGGAGCTCAGATTCTCTAATTTGTGCACAGACTTCAGTGAATTATAGATCAAAGTTTTAGATATTCTGTCTGTGGATGCTAGGCTTTGATCCAGCAAAGTTCTGCCTGCAGAAAGTTTGCTAAAAACACCCGGTGCCTTGCGCAGTGAGAGCCGCTGGTGCCGCTTGTTTGTGTTTCCACTAATGAGGGGGGCTGCTCTGTCTTTTCGGACGAGCCCAGCATGCATTAAAGTGACTCCGGCTCACCTGCTGAGGTTTACCCACTGCCACATAAAGCCCTGCACGACCCTCGTTCTCCATGTCAATGAGCCTTAAAAAGCATGAAAATGGGAGCTGTTGGCTCCTTTTCACTGTTAAAAAACACAAGCAAGGCCTCTCACCTTCAGCCTGAGTGGACGTGAACTGCTAATGACTGCCGTAAAATACAGCAGGGGGAGAGTGGGGGTGGGGAGCCATTTAGTGTAATGTGGGTTTTACACGGCGCTTCCGAGCTTCCTCACCTACTCCCTTCAGGCGGGCTAAACCAAAGATTTTTAACAATGAAGTCTGAATTTCAAATTGAGATTGAATTCCCACGAGTCGGTGAAGATCCTTCTACGTTGAAAATGTGAAATGTTAGTAATAATCCCAGTATGTTCTTGCTGTTATTTAAAAACTTAACATACTTTGTTCATGCAAATAATCTCTATTTAAAGGGGCAGTATTACATGAAATTAACTTTTTTTGGAGCTCTGCATCATGTTGTAATGTTATACCCTCATCAAAAACATACCTGGAAAGTTGCCTCGATTTTTTCATCCATGTTTGAGAAATCCTTTTAATCTCCCATGGCAACCACTCGGTGCTCCAGTTGACATTTGTGACCATTTAAATGATGTGAAGCTTTAAGGAGCAGGAACCCCTTAAAGTGACAGAAGCCCAATTTCAAGTCTTTTCGAATTGAAAACTTAAATTTTGGCCCGAGTCTTTTGGGTCAAGCCTCCATCAGGTTTGCAGACATATAAACCAAGGTTTTTGCCTGTTTTATCTTGCTACAAACTCTCAACTGAATTTAGGTCCGGACTTTAACTAGGTCATTCTAACAAATGTGATCTAAGCTAAGCATTATAGCTCTGGAATTAGAGTCGTTGCTCAGCTGAACTGGAAACCCTCGTCTCAGTCTGAAATGTGTTGCCCTGTCCCTGCTGCAGAAATGCATCCCTGAGCATGATGCTGCCACCACTGCACGGCTTGTATATGTCCAACAAAGATTTTAAGCATACAACAAATAATTGGCACAATGATATTTTATCCCATCTGAGCTTGGAATCTGTGCAGAAAAATGTGGAAAAGTTACAGGGATGTTTGTGAGTTTTTTTGTAACATTGTGATTTTACTATTGTTGAAAATCTAGTGAAATGAATTTATAAAACTGCAGACAACCCTTAGTAGGATTGTAAATAATGAAAATACAAAACCTTTCAGCATCAAATTATCTTTTTTCCTCCTGGATTTAAACAGGATCTAGAATCAGCAGTTCTACATCCTATTGTTCTGCCGTATAGATCACACATATCTGCCGCGATGTTTAATGCACATCACTGCGACTGACGCCAGTGAAGTTTTTCGTTTTCAAAGACAGGCGTTTTATGGCTCCTGTTCATGCAGGGAAGCTACCATGTTGATCGGCGGATTCCCTGGAGGAAAATGAACGTTCCTTTGTTCCCCCATCGATTTCCATTGACCTTCTCCACTCCGCCGCAGCAGGGGGGGAAGCGAGAGTAAATTCCCTCGACTCGCAAACACCCTCCTCAACTCCACTGGGTTCAATCTGCATAGCTCTACATCAATGCCTAATGTGGCCCTTTTAATTGCTCTGCAAAGAGCACCGGATCGACCCGCACTAAGACGTTCGTAAAGACTGCTGACGTGGCTAAGTGCTGGACATGTGTCTTAAGTATCCCCCAGGTGGTGCTAAAACGTTGGACGAAAACAAAAACAAAACGGACAAGCACATAAACACAGCGGACCGTTGATCCTGGCTGTCCAGTGCTGGTGTCAGCAGATCCTAGCAGACAACTTGCTGGAGGCTGGCACAAAAGTGTGAAAACAGAGGGAGGGGCAGAGGTGGAGGTAGGGGGTGAGAAGTGGGGGCGGGGGGACAACAGATGTAGATGAAATAGCCCCGAAAAGGAAAGCGGCAGTCAGTTGGCCTTCATAAAGCCAAATGGAAAGGAACTGGTGGAGACTGGGTGGTACCAAAAAGCTCTGAGCTAACAGGAGGGGAAGGTCAGACGAGGACAACCAGCTGTGGCAGCGGAGAAAAAAACGAGGCGCAGATGTCGCAACAGATATGCAACGCAAGCAAAAACCTGAAAATCGGTCAAATTTGGGCCTATCACAATAAATCAATGAAAAAAACAAGATCAATAACTTCCATTTGCATGATTTATCGCCGTTCTCTCTCTTTTCCCCCCTTTTTACTATTAAAATCTGGATGTAAAACGTCTTCAGGCTGGTGCTTTGGTCTCAACTAGCCACTTCTTTGGAAGGACAATTTTGTTTACAGAGATTTCATAATTTATTTATTTGTTTCTTTTGTTTTTATTTATTTATTTTCTATTTTTAAAATGTCTCCCAGTTCCAGAGCTAAATGTTCGATGGAGTTAAAAGTTTATTAATCCTTGACGATGTGTTTTTGCGTTTTGTCATTACAATTATATTACTGGAAAATGGTCTCAAAACAACAATATTATCGCTTATCACAATAACTTCTGGGACAAAACTTTGTATCATGACAGGCTTTGTCAAATTTATTGAAAAAGTTAGGCTTGTTCATAGAAATATCTTTAAAAGTGATCAACTGCTTATGCTCAATCGGTGCTGCAGCTAATGTAAAAAGAAAGAATATGCGTTCCAGTGAGGCTCCTTTATCTTTTGAAACTAACCATTATCCAGGTTAACCTTTTATTAAAATCTCATTTCTGTATTAAACATGTTTTTTATTTGTCTGGTGTAACATTCCAGTCATAAATGTTATGCTTTTATAAGTTGCAATTAGAGAATCATCATGATTAACAGAAATTAAGTGCTGAAAACACCAGTCTGTGTTTAATTAATCCTATACATACATAGGAAAAAAAAAAGAGAAGAAATAAGGATGAAACAAAGACAGCAGCCATAACCAGTTGAGATTAGTGTTTCAGGCGGTTGGCATATCTGGGTGGAGTGTGGTACCATGAGTTTCAAAAAGTAACAAAAAAGTGTGCAAAGGTGCTTATGAAGCTCAACCAGAGGCACAAAAAGTCATCAGTGCACCGTCCCCTCAAAGTGCTTGGCGTCCTGTTTCCTGCTCTAAATTAGAAAAAGAACGCAGGACGGCGCGTGAATCTGGTTCAGTCCTCACTGGATTCCTCCGAGTTGTCTATGTCCGCGTCATCCGACGAAGCCTTGGTGCACTGGTCCCAGCCGCGGGCCTGAGCGAGCACGGCGGGGGGCATGAGCGCGACGCACGCGGCAAGGCCGGAGACCCGCTTGCTCAATTCAGTCTCGTTCTCCCACTCCCCCGTGTCTGTGTTGTAGACGTGAACGTACTTCATCCTGTTGCCTTTGTCGTGGGAGCGCCCGCCCAGGACGTAGATGCGGCCGTCCAGCACAGCTATGCCGGGTTCTCCGTGTCCGGATGGGAGCGGGGTTAATAAAGACCAAGAGTTTGGTGTCGGGTCAAAGCAAGCCAACTAGAAAAAAAAAAAATAAATAAATCAAAGAGGAAGCAGCTGGTGAGTTTTTACTCATAGAAGTGCTTAAACTGTAAGAATCAGTGATTTGAACCCGACGTTTCATCAGTTTAATGGTCAAATAGAAAAAAAGCAAAAAAAAAAAACAAAACAGCAAGTAAACCATCTCTGATGACTCATGACGTACCTGCAGGACGTCACGCCGATATCCACGCTGATCATTGCTGCCTCCGATGACATACACGCGCCCGTTCGCAGCAGCCATGCCATGCCACGCCCGCTCCACCGGCCCCTCGGCGCATGCCGTCCAGTCGTCAGTGGAAGGGTCATAGCAGTAAGTCTCTCTGAGGTACGCCATTCCTCTACGGCCACATGCTACATAAATCCTGCCATTCAGCACCACTCCAGCGTGAGCGTACACCTGGAGGGAGGGACAGATTTAAGGGAAAAAAGTCAGGAAAGGGGGAAGAGAGCGTTTATAGAATGCAGACATATAGCACCACCATGTGGGGAATAGCGGTAGTGCATGCTTTCATCCAGATACACTGGTGTGCAAGAATATCCACACTCACTGCATATAAATATAAATAATAAAAAATAAAATAGATACCACAGAAGCTGTGCTCTCATTGAAGCAACTTTCTTCTAGCAATTTTCAAACTTTTTCTGGTATCTTAGTGTCTTTATTCTGCTAATATTATGACTTGTCATATATTTACTTTACTCTTGTAAATTAAAAAAAAGTCTGGCCCTAATTTTCTGTTGTACTCACGTGACAATGTAATACAAAGTAGACGTGCACTACTTTGAAGTGAAAAGAAAACCCCAAAACAAAAAACACTGGTGCTCACCAACGCACCCATGTTCATACACTGACCAGCAGGCAACTCGAGGTTAAGCGCCTTGCCTGGCGTCACATAAACGTCACACTAAAATCTCTGGCTACACATGAAAATAATCTTGCAAGGCGCTGTGCTGTAAACTCTTACTTCTTTCTTCATTGGAGAGACAAACTCCCACGTGTTGGTGACCGGGTCGTAGCGCTCCACCCAGTCCAGCTCGCTCTTGTAGTCGCGTCCGCCGATTGCGTAAATATGGCCGCCCACCACACAAACGCAGTGGTCGGCATGCTGCATCTGCAGAGGCTGGATGGAGCACCAGCTGTTGTAACGAGGGTCATATCTGAAAGAAGAAATGTTTATTGACCTGCAGGAAAATAAAAGCCAATCTGGGATCAAATCACCTGAGCCAGGCT